ATTTTGTCATTCATAAAACTTTTTTATGGTAAAAATTTGTAACTAATTTAAAAATAGACAACTCCAGGGTTTCATTTTATCTTCCTGGACAAACGCGATTTAGTTTATTTTTATCACTTAATGCGTGCGTAACCCAATCATCGTGCTTTCAACTATTCCACGTAGATAAAGTGTTTCAAGAATGTCTGTGGCACATAAAGATTTGTTGCAAGTTTACAAGTTGTTGTTCGTCGATATTTTACAATTTCCTTCTGCAATGTCTCTTCGTCCACAGCTTTTCAGCGCCCTTCTGTTGTGTTTCCTTTAGTTCAAAATTTCTAGTCCAGAACATTTAAAACTACATTTAACATTGATTAACCCAGAAATGCATCGTAAATTTATAAAACTAAAAAACGTATTTTTCAAAAGCCGATGTGAACAGCCACAATTCTTCTAAATGACAAGGACTAAGAAGATTTGAATATCAAAAATATTCCTATTCTGAAAAATACGTTTTCTAGTTGTCTAAATTTACTGGGATAAATCAATGTTATAATCCGATCCATAATACTGAGATTTATATTTAACATGTTGGAAGTTTAGGTGTATCTTCCCCAATACATATTAAAAATCATTTCTTTTTTCCTGTTTGTATAGCGTTATATTCTTTCCGAAATTCAAAAAGGATAATATGCCAGATATGAATTTTATCTGCAGACATTTCGACTTGATTTTACTCAAATAAAATGTATATTATAATAATTATTTCCCGAAGCAGATGTCCACAGTCTACTTTTAATTAATTAAAATTTTTCTTATAATTTTATAATAAAACTTAAATTAATTTATAAAATTTTCTATAGTTCTACAACAAATATTTTCATAGAGTTTCAATAAAATTTTCTATTTTTCTTGTAGTGCTGCAATCTCAGCTTAATTTGACTATCGATCAATGAAATATTTGAAGAAAACTGATATACAATATTTATTTTATATTTCTTTTTTATTATAAAATAGTTGTTACTGAAATTATTTCTTAGAATTATATTTGTATTATAGAAACAAAAGGAAGAGCAATGTGTTTTTATCTTTTCGACCACAGACTAAGAAATACAGTTGAAAAATTCAACATTTAAAAAAAGAATACAATTCAAAATCTTACATAAATGTAATTTTTATGTTACTAATTAATAGAATTAATGTAATTTTTGAAAATTAAGAAAATTTTCTGTTTTTCAGGAGGAAGCATGAACTATAATTATATTATAATAAAATCATACGATTAAGTTTTACATATTAATAAATCTTTGTTGATTTATGAAGTTAAAGCATTAATTAAGTTTTATAATTTATTAAAAATAAATATTATGTAATCTTAAATCTAATTGATATTTTAACAAGAGAAAGTGTAATAGTTTAAGTTTCTACAAATAAACAAAAACTTTAACTAATTGCATTAAACATTTACTGAAATATTATTTTTATATTTCAAAAAAGTTATCATTAATACAATTAATTATAGTCTATGTTTCCTCAGAGTTGTAAATTAATAACTACTTATAATGATTAATGTTTTAAGAAATGTTATTTAAGACTCTGAGTGTTCGCATGGGAGTTAAAGAACTATCTTAAATTTGTATTAGGATTTTCTAAAAATTTATATTAATTAATAATGAAATATTATATTATGAAATCGAACTATCTCCATAACCATATATAATGCATAATAAATTATTAAGTGAAAACTTAATACTGATAATTATTAATATTATCTTAATAGCCCTAATAAATTATGAATACTAATGATAAATATGAATCAATTTATGGATTCTTTGAAAAATATAAATATGAATTTATAATTTAAATGTTTACGAATAAATGTATACAGAGTAAAAGAGTTTATACGTATTGTTTGAAGAGTAAATAAATCTTAGAACTGTTTTTAATCAATTTTGTGTCCTAGAAGTATACAATTTGTTTTATTATTTCCACCCTGTGGGCATAAGAGCGCCTTTTTATCAAGTCCATTATCGTTTCATCCAGGCTCACATAATAAGGCGACGAATGATGAGGGACGGGGAGGCCAATATATCCGAGACAGATTACCCCCGAAAAATTTTTGAGTGTTTTTCAATTTAGCCGGATTCAATTCCAGATCATCCAGAGCGGTAGGTTGATGACTTAACCGCCAAGGCATACAGAAGGTGTATAAATTGTGCATAAAGTATGTAAAATCTATTGTGAATAGCATACTTTTGAAGAAAGAATTTAAAAAAGAATTTAATATTGTTGGTAGAAGTTTTCAACAGTCAAAAGTTATATCTAGAATATGTTTATTTTTATCCTTTTTAGTCACCATTTTATTGCAAAGCTCAATAGCTTAATTAACGTCACTTTTCCCTGTATTCTAGGCAAGTTTTCGCCATTCATTTTTCATCGAAGTGACGGTCTTAACTAATCGATAGATGGCCATTGTCCATCACAGGCTAGGAATGCTTGACACGTCATCCGTAATAGTTTTATTCCAATGTCATAAAATGTTAAAACTCTTTTAAGAGTTAAAACTTTCAATATGTTTATTTATCATTTTTTCTATTATTTTATCTTATCCAATCGTCACATTCGATTAATTTGTAAACTAAACATGTTAAATCTTTTTCTGTTTGAAATTTTATTATATTCGTTACAACTTATTTTTTAATTTTAAAAATTTAATGGAATATTATAGTTTTATAAACGTCAAAATATACTCATATTTAGTATATTAATTAGAAAAAAAATCTGCGATTAGAGTGATTAGCTAAATTTTGCCAATAACCATGGAATAGATATTATTACTGACAACTTCATTTCAAGTAAACAATTACGTAAGAAAATTCAAAGAATAATAAAAGATTTCTTTTAAAAAAAATCTTAAAATTCTTCAATATTAATGATGTATTGAAAATTTTAAAAATTATTTCTTAAGAGAAACTTATTTTGGTTAATCGGTTTTTGATTACGTAGAGACTTAATTCTATCGCTTATTTGTAAATTTCTCCAGAATACCTAGAAGAAATAATCAAACCTCTGTATAATTAGAAACTAGTTTTAAAAATTTAATTATAAGAACGTTTTTATAACTAATAAATCTAGCTACGATATATATAATTACAGTATAAAATGGAAAATGCATTAAAATATCTGCAAATTAAATGTTTATTTTTTATACAGTAATAAAAATATTTAAAGTTATATAATACAGTCATCATATCGCCCCTCGTTATATTACTCTTCTTTTCGTCCTCAAATTTTAAAAGTACTTGAGTCAATAAATTATAAAATATCAATTGCCATTGAATTTCTTTTTGCAATAAAATATGGTATATTATTCTTACCGTTGTCCTTGAACCATCGTGTTTTACGGATATTATATTAAGATATCCCTAAAACACGATCTTAATGTAGATAATTGTATCGATAAAGTTCTTCACTAATTTAAAAATAATATCAAAAGAACCATCTTTGAGCATATTTTATCAAACTTTTTTTTTCATCCGACGGATATTAGACTCAGTATTCGAGTGAAGGGAGTAACTAGTTAATAACACCATAGCCAATTTTAACATGGCATGTATGTATATAGATGGGCTGCGGCACGGGCCGGTGATGTCTTAGATGATCATCTCCGAAAGTTGAATGTCTGAGATAAATTTTAACAGTATTTTTATTTAAACGGTAAAATTTTCAACACAAAAAGTTCATACGATATACGAAAATCTATTATTGTTTAAAGAAAATAACTGAGTGGCATGTTAATTAAGTACATACAATAAGAGTGATACTTAATGTCTAAATTTATGTTAATGTCAAAAATTTTAATAAACAAATTACTCGAGCATTATAATATTTACGAAACGCCTGCAGAAATCGTGTTCATTGACTAAATTCAACATGCGACTCTTAGCAGACAAAAAAAAGAAAACAGCAAAAATAAAAGAAAAAAAAAACCTCTTTCGTTCTCTTTTAGCAGACGACCTCTAGCTTTTTGAACCCCTCTTGGCAAAAATAAATAACTAATAATAATGTTATTGTTTTTACAAAGATCGGAATTCACAATAGTAAATTCACATGGACAAACCTGCTGTTCCATGCAGCTGTTGGAATGTTTTGCGAATTATTTTCTTTTTCGAAACATTTTTGCGATGCAATTCTTTGTTTAGGAAATAAAATTAATGATTTAAATTTAGTATACGCAGCTTCTTCTTGTAACATATAATATATGATAAAACATTTTAAATATACGAGTTTTGTCAAACCTAATTTTATTTTACTAGTGATTACTTTAAAGGAAAAAATAACTATGAAAACATTTGCGGGCAAAAATTATTGTGACATCTTCACAATGTAATTTTTAATCATCTTTTTAATTTATTTAATTTAAATTATATGTTTTCCATCTCAAATTAGTATTGTCTTGCCCGTGTACATTATACCTTTCCTGATAAGAACAGTTATTTGTAACTCTAATCTGGGAAAATTATTTGAATTGAATATCTGAATAGTTAATCTGGACCTCCTGACGCTAATAGTTTTATATCTGGTCTCCTCTTTTATCTATTTAAAACCGTTCTGGCGGTTATGGAAGGACAGACAGACAAACAACAATGGAAATTTATAGGTCTACAATTTTTTTTCAAATTGTAGCCCAATTACTTAAAACTTAGCTGTAACTTATAAATACAGTTAAGAAACGGTTTAATCGAGAAAAAATTAAAACATTTCCTTCATTAGATCCTGTTAATTCAGAAAATACGGTAATTAAATTATTATATTATATTATTCGTTTTCAGTTCAAAAATTTTCTTCTGTATTAATTTTTAACACCAGATATGCGAACCAAGATATAAAATTGTAATTTTGTTCCTTTTAAAATTATTTAAAATGTTTTTAACAAATTTCTTAAAAAAGTTATTACAAAAAATTATTAACAGATAATTGTTAATAAACAATAAAATAGTATTGTTATTCAGGAAAATTGTTATCATTATTTTGAATATAAAAGCAAGATGTTAAATAAATTTATTTTGCTCTTGTTATTCATATTTACAAAAAGTTTTGGGTTTGATATAGGCCTAAATATTAAGATATCCGTAAGACACGATCTTGATAATGGTAAGTTTATTTGATATAAATTTTTACATTTTATAATATTTGCTGTTATAATGTTAATAGTTGTTATTAATTAATAGGAATAAATAATGAAAATATTAAAGAACAAAGTCAGAAATCCAGATCAAGCAAAATTCTCTCGTATATATTGAAATTTATTTTAGAAACATTAAAACAGATTTTTATTTATTTCTTAAATGAAATGTATGAACTGCATGAAAATGCGTCAAATATAACGTTTTTAGCTGATGTTTCTGTAGATCTGAATTTCATAATCAAAAGTTTATTAAGGAATGATAAAAGTATTTGTTTTATGGATAAACGAAAAAACTACTCTAGTACAGAAAATGTCTCAAATTCCGTTTATCTTACTTTTATGCGAAAATGGAGGAGAGATTGGATAGAAGATGAGATGCTTTTATATAACTGGAAGCATCTCATTGTTTCTTTATATGTTTCAACTAAATTCTGTAAACAAATAATTATCCTGGAAAATAATATAAAGATAAAAAATGAGGAAAATATATTTCGCTATAAAATTGAAAATTTAACTGCTTACCATCAAAATAATTTTAGTTTAGGAAGCGAAAATACGACCAAAATTAACTTAAATTTAAGTGATATCGAAGAGTATCCAAACATGTCATCTGAAGTAACAAATGAAAAATCTATTGTTTTTATATTCGAGATTGCCAACAGAAATATAATTTGTTCGAACATTATGAGAAGTTCTCAGAATAATTCTAAAATGCATAACAATGTTTTAAATTATCAAATTGCATTACCAGTTAAGCAAAATTATAAAATTAGTGTATGGATTGGAACAATTTTATGCTTATCGGTACGACGCTTTTCAATTCATCAAAATGTTTTAAATATATTTTTAGCTATATATGAATTAAATTTTTATTTTCAGATTATTTGCTTTTGTTTTTATTTTTTCCTGCCCAAAATTTCGGATAAACAAACCTCTGAAAATATACAATCTGGTAATGACGACGAACCCGAGAGAAAAGATAAGGAACTACGAAATGACAACTTACAGGTAAACTTGGTTTAGTTAGAAAGTAATAAACTATCCTGTAAATCAGTCGCAAAATAATAAATATTTTTCTGCTTTGAATAGGTTTAGTAATTTGTATTATTATTTTTTAATTTTTAAACTATACAAGATATATGTCACATAATTACGTTTCTTTTCATAGTTAAATCAACTTTATTAGACTACTAGATTTTATTCAAATATATCAAAAGCGATTCCAAATAATGATAAGAGTATTTGAATGCAAACAGAAGTATCCGATTCTAACAGTTTCTCATTGTTTTCGAGAAATTGATCTAAGCATTCGAATATATTCTCGAAAACAACCGAAATTAAGTTTTACCCCCTAAAAATAAACTGATCCAAGCAGATGCTTGCTCTGCTGGTCAAGATCCGAAGCCCTGTAACTTTAGTAGTGTTTATAGTGGAATTAGAATTAACAGTCTACTTTTATTAAAATGCCATTATGAATTAAGTACTTTCTGAATCCGTAATGATGTATCAGTATATTGGAATATATTAATCAATCGTACTGAAAATCGAAATTAAAATCAGAATTTCCATATGATTATATGAATATCCTATCCTAAATATTATAATTTATGATCTCATCCAATTCCTGATATCTTTAGTAATAGATAGCCTGCCGTGTTTAGGCCTATTTATATAAGCATTGTTATATTTCAGGACTGTAACGATACTGAGTGTAGTAATGAAAACCAAATTTTACAAATGTCTTTTAAAACAGACATAATTCAAAGTCCAGTACTTATAATAGATCAAGTAAGACATTTATTTAACTTTTTATATTAAACAATTGTAGATTACAAAAGTAAAAATTAAAATCAAACTGTATTAATGTTTTTCAGCTGAAAATAGATTTTACAAACGTTATGGAAGAGCTGCAGGAAACAGTAGAACAAAGCACTATCAAATGGGAAAGCAATGTGTAAGTAATTAAAAACAAAATAGATATATTCAGAATTATTTTCAAACTCATATCTTGAGATAATGCAATATCAGTTTGATATCTCAACGGAATGTTTTGTTTCATCTCTAAATCATAGTCAGACAAATAAATTTTTACTAAAAACAATTTATTAAAATTTATGCTAAGATCATGTTAGAAATTAATTTTGCCTTAAAACAGTTTATCAGGCCTTATTTTAAATCATTGAAAAAATTAAGTTATTCAGAAGTTTAGTTACTTTGTGCAACATACAAAACTGTTCACATATTAAGATACCAGTAAATTAAAAAATCACTTTTATATTATAACAAAAACAATAACGTTAAACCAATATCTTTATGTGCGATGTATCGATATATCAATTAACAAATATATTATTATTAATATATAATGTTTATTATATTGATTAATGTTATAATTTGTAACAGATTTAACATGTTAAGTGAATTGAAATCAATTGAAAAACTAGGAGAAAGTATAATCTTGGACATTCAAACTGAAATTGAATCAATAGAACAACTGATGAACAACATAAAAGGAATTGACAGAAAGTATCAATGGATAGAAGATAATCATGAGAAATTGAAACGATGGTTTTCAGAATTTGAAAGTTATAAAACTGAAATTGAACAAAAATTACAACGATTCGAAGACTACATTAAAAAAAATAAATTCGATAATATATATAATCGCACTTCAATGTATTCAAGAAGAATATTAGAACCGTATAGAAAAATTACTTCAGATTAAATTCATATGTAATGTCTTAGAATATTAATAATAATAATAATTAAATGTAAATTTCTAAAAATTAAGTACTTTTTTTTAATATCATGAAATGAAATTACAAACTATTATAGAATTTAAAAAGATATGAATGGAAGTATGAAAATAATTGTAATTAAATATAAAACTACGAGTGTAATTCAATGAAAATTCAATTAAATGTGTGAACAGTCGCGCAAATTAAGAGTTTAATGCACCAACGAGTAAATTATGTCAGTTTCGAATCTTTAAGGATAAAAATTAGAAACAAAAGATGAATAAAATGCACAGTTATCTCCGTTTATCAGGCCGGATAATTCAGGCGATTAAGCAAATTATGCAAAATATTGGTAAAAGCAATTATTGACTATTTACAATTATCAGAACAACAATAAACTTATTATTTAGTCAAAACAATTAACATCGAATTAAGAGGAGTACACGAAAAATGTCTTTAAAAGTAGGAAAAACTTTTAGCCAGAATTCGTTAAATATCATAAAGAGGATGAAAGATGCAGGCATTTTTTGTGATGCACTCCTTAAGTCGAGAGATGGAGAAGAATTTCCAGTGCATAAATGTATCATGGCTGCTTATTCCTACTATTTTGAAATCTTATTCATCAATACAATGGTTAGAGAAGAAAGACAAGTATTTCAATTAAAAGATATCGACAAAGAAATTCTTCAATGCATCATAGATTATATTTATTGCGGAAAAATCGAACTGAATACAGAAAATGTTCGTAAAATTTTCCATGCCGCTAATGAGTATTTGTTGTCAGAATTAATGAATGAATGTTGTTCCTATATGATAGATCATCTAAACGCAAAAAATTGCATTTCTATTAAAAACACAGGAAAAACTTATGGAAATATCATCTTAGAACAATCTGCTCATCAATATTTAATGAAATATTTTGCAGAAGTCTCGAAACAAAACGAAGAATTGATGCATGTGACAGTGGAAGAACTCGCAAACATCTTGAATTGTGCAGAATTAAATGTTAAAGAAGAAGAATTAGTTTGGGACACGGCATTGCGCTGGATAGACATAAATCCACAAGAAAGAAAAAAACATATGCCTGCCTTATTGAAATGCATTCGTCTAGGCCTTCTCGATTCTGATTTTTTCATGAGAACTGTGAGGAAACATCCATACGTCACAGAAAATGAAGATTGCTATCCTCTGATAATGGAAACATTAGAATTTCTAAACGATTTAGATACCATAAGCCAGAGATCAGAAGAAATTCTAACTCCAGACTTAGTTCGGCCTCGCATCCCTCACGAAATAATTTTTGCTGTAGGGGGATGGAGCTCTGGATCACCAACCGATTACATCGAGACATACGATAGCCGAGCAGACAGATGGGTAAAGATGACTGACGTTGATCCTGCTGGACCAAGAGCTTATCACAGATGTGCAGTAATCGATCATACTATCTATATAATTGGTGGATTTGATGGAATGAATCATTACAGTGGATGCCGCTGTTTAGATACCATCAACAAAAAGTGGAAAGAAATAGCTCCGATGCATTGCAAACGATGTTATGTGAGTGTAGCAGTACTAGATAATTTGATATACGCCATGGGTGGATACAATGGGGCGCAACGACACAATACCGCCGAGAGATATGATTATAGAACAAATCAATGGACGATGATTGCACCAATGCATATGCAACGAAGTGATGCCGATGCCACAACTCTGGACGGTTTCATTTATATCATCGGCGGTTTCACAGGACAACATTGCCTCGAATCGGCCGAACGGTACAACCCGCAGACTAATCAATGGACTCTAATTTCAAATATGAGAAGCCAAAGAAGTGGTTTATGTTGCATCGCTTTCAAAGATTGCGTATATACTCTGGGTGGCTTCAATGGCTTTGAAAGATTGAAAACTGTAGAGAAGTATAATCCTCATTATAATACGTGGTCAGATGTACCTGATATGATAACAACAAGAAGTAATTTTGCTGTAGAAGTTATCGACGATATGATATTTGCCATCGGTGGATATAACGGAGAGAGTATCATATGTCAAGTCGAGTGTTACAGCGAAGCAACTAGTCAGTGGTACGAAGCAACAGACATGAACATTTTTCGTTCTGCATTGGCTGCTTGTATAATAAAGAACATACCTAATACCACTGATTACATCCACAAACACCGAGACAAATTGCTCGAAGAAAAAAGACAAAGACTTCGGGAATTGAGAGAAATGGAAACAGAAATGGATTAACAGACAAATAAAAAAGAAGAGCTGTCAAAAAATTGACAAAATATTTATCCAATATTGTTCTGTTTAGGAAATTAATAAGATTATCTAAATTCTCGCGTAAATAAAGTTTGCCTTTTTGTTTAAGAAGGAAAACATTAAACATTTTTGTTTTTATATACAATCATTATTCTACTTTATAAGATTAAATAAAGTTATATACTGCATATTTGATGACTTTATTTAAATATTAATAGTTTAATACTAATAATTCAAAGAAGAAATTATCTCCCGAATTAAAAATTTGAATATTCAATGATTTTTTGAATTAAAAACGTCCAAATTGTAAGAAAATTTCTAAATTATAAAGACAAGGCTAATTCAAAGAAAGAATTCGCAGTTGTGAGAATATTTTTATTTGCTTTTTGATTGCTATTATTCTTTACACGACTACATAAATGCACAATTCTCACAATTAGTGGACCATCAATAGCTGCATGACTAAAACCACTGAACACTGGTAATTTGTTGCAGTTCGTGCCTGATCAATGAGAGTCACGTAGAGTTTTCCGGGTTTTCTCTCACGTCTCATCTCATAGTACTTGAATAGGGGCCAGTTTCCCGTAGAAAGTTCTTCTGGAAGGCACCCTTCAAATATACTCTTCAGAAGGCACTCCTTGACATATCACCCATATGTTGCGTTGTCTTATAGCTCACTATCAATCCTACCATCCCACAGTATAAATTCCCTTAGAAATGGGATATCTGTATTTAAAAAACGGCTTAATTTTAAAATATTTTTTGTTTTGATTGTTTTAATAAGTAATTTTTTTAAATCATGTATAATGAAAATAGTCAGTGAGATGAATTTCAATGCGTTGATCATTAAAAAATGGCTTAATCTGTTGCAAATGTAAATTGGATTGGATCCCTTTAATCTGATGGGATAAGGCTACGCAATATATGGACGATCTGCCAAGGGAAGAAATCGCGAGGGAAGATTTTTTTAGGAAATTGGCCTCTATTTAACTGTTAGACACGTGAATAAAACATAGAAAACTCACTGAGACGAGCTAGTTGATTAGGTGTGAATCAATGACCAACTAAATTAGTAGTATCTTTTCCCTGTACATCATGCTTTCCTGTTAGCAATATAGTCATGCCGGACATCTATCAAACTCCTTTCAGGAAAAAAATTTTTGAATTGAAATAAGGTATATAGATTAACTATATAAGGAAGTTCGTATATAGTTACTCGGGACCTCCTGCCCCTAATGTTTCTTTATCTGGTCTCGACTTTCATCTATCTAACTCCGTTCTCAAGGAAGCACAGGCGGATAGAAGACAGTGAGAATTTATTGTACTACATTTTTTTTTCAAATTGCAGCGCAGTTAGTACAAACAGAATATCGATTCATGGTGATCAAAACCTCATAAGTTTACCATCACATCATATAAGAATTCAAATTCACTCATTTTCATCGTGGTGGCAAACATTTTTGTTTCAGAGAGAAAAGTAACTGAAACGAGTGCTGCAGATTTAACCTCGAATTAGTGAGACCGCTGAAGAGGATTGTTGTGTGCAGTGTTTTAACGAGTTTAGCAACGCAGAAGATTTCAGATTGTGCCGTCCGATTTCCGGATTTGAGATCCGTCAGAAAGAACACTTTACGATTCGTTTATCTCAGATCAAGTCCATTTATTTTACAACTCTTTACAGTATATACAGCAATAAGTCTCAATTGCTACCACCGAAAATGTCTTGAGCCTTGCTTTTTCTCTTCCTTTCGATCGGTTAAGTTTGCCTTTTATTCGAGATTCTTTGGCCGTCCAATCCGGAGTCAGTAGCTTTTATTCAAATTCGTCCTCGTTGGTATACCTGTCTCAACTTATTCAGGATGATTCACGCTAAATGACCCCCTCCAGAAAACGTGTTCCGACGAGTGGAAATCTAAATCACTTTGTCTCTACTCGTTAGGCCTCCTTGACAAACGCTCTCAACGACATCGCTTAGCAGCGCTTAGTTTAACAACAATCCCTTTCTTAGCACGATTTCTGCAATACTGATCTGCATTTGAATATTATTCTGATAGACATTAACGTTCTTGTTCGAAAATGTCTTATAAATACTATTTAAACAACGTAGAAGACCAGAATATTACAAGCAAAAAACACTAATCTTCTTAACAAACGAACAACAGGAAAAAGTATATCAACTTAAAAAATTGATAATATAAGGATTAACGACATAATTAACAAGGAGATAGAAAACGTATTTTTAAAAATAAAAAAAGCACAAAAACAAAAAATTTGGATAGGAAAACTATTCGAATTAGAAGTTAGCAGTGGCGTACAGTGACATTTGATGATAGGGAAACTGTAAGACCGGATGGCCGAGCGGTTAATGCTGCAGCCTACCGCTCTGGGGGACTTGGGATCGAATCTGAACGGGTCGAAAAATCCTCAGGAAATTTTCGGGCAGTTGTCCATCTAAATATGTCTTTTCGGGGGTTGTCCATCTGGATATGTCGGGCCCCGTGCCTCACCACCCGGCCGCCCCGTTGTGGGCCTGGCCGAATCCATAATGGATCTGCTGAAAAGAGGTCCTCTTAGTGCCCACAAGGCAGAAAGAGTTAAAAAAATAATAATAAGGAAGCTGTTTCCATAAAAATTTTAAACATATACTACAAATGACAAAAATAAACAGTTTATTTTAATTCTAAAATAGATAATTAACACAAAACAAAGATTTAAAAAATTGTTTTTATTATTGCTTATAAACTAACTCTATTCGGCGATTTTTTCTCCGCAAAGTCGTTAATTACTTTATCATAAAAATCGCTCGTCGTTCATTCCATCAAAGTATTTAAAAGTTCTTTTTCTATTGAAAGCAACGCTAGTTACGACAATCTTTTTTTCTGACTGAGTGTTCCTTGCCAATGTATCAATTCGCTTCGTAGTTGAAAAACTGNCTGATAAAATTTTAAGAAATAAAGACCTGGTAAGAACTTCACAACCAAAAATTTCATCACGTAACACTTTAAGACACCCACATTTAGCCAAAATATGCCAGGCATCCACAATTTCGTTCTCAACACAAAAGTTACACAATTATCTCGAATAATTCTTCAAAAAATTACACCTACCCTGTATAAATAAAGACAAAATATTAAGGGAAACATCTTGATTATATAAAACATTATCAAAAAAAGTAACATTTAAATCCTTATACCAGCAATTATATACGCTATTATTTATTTTTTCATTTATATTGTATAAAAAAATTATCAAAAATGTTAACGAGGAGAAGAGACCAGTCCATTAAATCCACATTATTATTAATAAGATTAATGTCATAATTATTACATGTGTCAATAAAATAATGTGTCCAGTCTATAGAAATTTTATTAAGTATAAATTTCAGACAAACTTTACTCAAACGATGATCATCAAGATTAGAAATTCTTATAATCTAATTTATATTTTTTCACTAAATTATTTATTTATTTGAATGCTTATTTATCCTCAAAAAATTAAGTGGTAACAGTATGATATTCTACATGTCCTGGAAGATGCGATGTGATATATCACCAAGTCACACACTTACAAAACCAATGTAAAGAGTCTCTTGAAACAATTAAAACATTATTAGATATTTTATAAAAATAAAATATTGTTACAAATCGTCTCTAATGTCTTGGTCGGGCAATGAGAGATACTCGGTTAGGGCTCTGGAAGTTTTATAAAGTTCAAGAGTCCGTTTCTTGATTACATAAAGTGACCTTATCATAGTTCATCAAACAAATATATTTTCCCTTCACTAAGTAAACATACTGATCCATGCTACCGCGCATTTTTTACAGACCTTCCAAGATTCCTGAAACAAGCTGTAATCATTGTTATAAAAATTCAATTACAGTTTTTAAATACGAAGTTTATGAATATCTTTGCAGAATTGAATCCTCAGTTATGCGTTCTCCTGTGTTCTTTGCAATGAAGAGACCTTAACCGACTCGGCCATCTGGCTATAGATGTTTACAAGTGATGGAAGAACAATACTTTTCAAGTGTTTAATTCTATCAAAAGTTTATCAGTTTTAAAGTTCTTCAACAGAAAATTATTTCTTAGAAGTAATATATTAATACGTAAGTAATTTTACGTTAAAAACAAAAGCTATGAAATTAATTTTAAAACTTTTAAACAATTTTTCAACTTTAGAATACCGTCTGCTAAAGTTTCCCAGATAAGTTTTATTTTGTAAAAAAATTGTAAAAGAAACTGATATTATAATTAAAATGCTTTTATTTAAAAACAAACACTAATTTAAAAAGTTTTAAAACTTTTTTCTCTTTAAAAATGCATATTACCACTTAGCCAGGTTTGATTTTAATCATTGTAATTTAGAGTCAATTCAAAAAACATTGACAATATAATGTGACGACAAGGAAAAAATTTATTTTTTATTAAAATAACCGATATGATTGAAACGAGACAAGGTAATAATTGTAACTATTTGTCAGTAAATAGTAGTGAATTAAAATAATATATGTAATTTTTCTAGATATATATTATTTTAATTAACTACTATTTACTGACAAATAGTTACAATTATTACCTTGTCTCGTTTCAATCATATCGGTTATTTTAATAAAAAATAAATTTTTTCCTTGTCGTCACATTATATTGTCAATGTTTTTTGAATTGACTCTAAATTACAATGATTAAAATCAAACCTGGCTAAGTGGTAATATGCATTTTTAAAGAGAAAAAAGTTTTAAAACTTTTTAAATTAGTGTTTGTTTTTAAATAAAAGCATTTTAATTATAATATCAGTTTCTTTTACAATTTTTTTACAAAATAAAACTTATCTGGGAAACTTTAGCAGACGGTATTCTAAAGTTGAAAAATTGTTTAAAAGTTTTAAAATTAATTTCATAGCTTTTGTTTTTAACGTAAAATTACTTACGTATTAATATATTACTTCTAAGAAATAATTTTCTGTTGAAGAACTTTAAAACTGATAAACTTTTGATAGAATTAAACACTTGAAAAGTATTGTTCTTCCATCACTTGTAAACATCTATAGCCAGATGGCCGAGTCGGTTAAGGTCTCTTCATTGCAAAGAACACAGGAGAACGCATAACTGAGGATTCAATTCTGCAAAGATATTCATAAACTTCGTATTTAAAAACTGTAATTGAATTTTTATAACAATGATTACAGCTTGTTTCAGGAATCTTGGAAGGTCTGTAAAAAATGCGCGGTAGCATGGATCAGTATGTTTACTTAGTGAAGGGAAAATATATTTGTTTGATGAACTATGATAAGGTCACTTTATGTAATCAAGAAACGGACTCTTGAACTTTATAAAACTTCCAGAGCCCTAACCGAGTATCTCTCATTGCCCGACCAAGACATTAGAGACGATTTGTAACAATATTTTATTTTTATAAAATATCTAATAATGTTTTAATTGTTTCAAGAGACTCTTTACATTGGTTTTGTAAGTGTGTGACTTGGTGATATATCACATCGCATCTTCCAGGACATGTAGAATATCATACTGTTACCACTTAATTTTTTGAGGATAAATAAGCATTCAAATAAATAAATAATTTAGTGAAAAAATATAAATTAGATTATAAGAATTTCTAATCTTGATGATCATCGTTTGAGTAAAGTTTGTCTGAAATTTATACTTAATAAAATTTCTATAGACTGGACACATTATTTTATTGACACATGTAATAATTATGACATTAATCTTATTAATAATAATGTGGATTTAATGGACTGGTCTCTTCTCCTCGTTAACATTTTTGATAATTTTTTTATACAATATAAATGAAAAAATAAATAATAGCGTATATAATTGCTGGTATAAGGATTTAAATGTTACTTTTTTTGATAATGTTTTATATAATCAAGATGTTTCCCTTAATATTTTGTCTTTATTTATACAGGGTAGGTGTAATTTTTTGAAGAATTATTCGAGATAATTGTGTAACTTTTGTGTTGAGAACGAAATTGTGGATGCCTGGCATATTTTGGCTAAATGTGGGTGTCAAAGTGTTACGTGATGAAATTTTTGGTTGTGAAGTTCTTACCAGGTCTTTATTTCTTAAAATTTTATCGGAACCACGTTATCAATTTAAAGTGTTTTGTTTTCTAAGAAAATCTGTTGAGTTTTGTCTTAGGGGAGCGTGATTCCTCTACTATAAAATTGGCCTTACTGCTGGTGTTGTTTGGGAGCATCTGTCAGTGCTGTGTTTTCGTTACTAATTTATTTCTTTTTATAGGTAAGGAATTTGCTTTCTCTTTTGGTTGATTGTTTTATTTTTATCTTGTTTATTGGTTTTGTATTATTTTTGACAGATGCTCCCTAACTTTAACTTTAACTTTATACTTTAGCTTTAAACTTTAACTATTTATTATATCTGATTTTTAAACCTTAATACTTAAATTGTTATTTATTTAAATTATTATTGTAATAATATATAATTTTTTGTTATCTTATGCTTATTGTATTTAAGTGTTTTGTTTTTGGGAGATGGTTTTGTTCCCTGCATCAAGGAGTGTATCCAGTGAGCGTGTTAAATAAATAAATAGTAAAAATATACATCAGTTTCCTAGATATATATCATTTTAATTAACTTGCATTTAAAGATGAATAGTTGCAATTATTACCTTTATCTCACTTCAAACCGAAGTTATTTTAATTAAGATTAAACTTATTGTCTCCTTGTCCTTATTGTCAATGTTTTTTAATTGCTATCAATTTCAGGTAACAAAATAATAATAATATCAAATTACAGCAGCAAAGTTTTATAGCATGCTCTTTCTCGACTTTTGTATTGCTGTAAATGAATTGACACCATGTCTTGCCGTAGCTCGTTCTATTGATAGATGGCCATGATTTTAGCACGACCATTTAGAATATACAGGCTACGGCGTGAATGTGGCCCCATTAATTTAAAGCTTACGCCTTCATTTGTTTCAAAATTGTTATTTAAACACAGCGGAGAAGGACGCTATCGTGGGATAGGATTTAGTAAGTGACCAATTACTGAACAATCTTCTGCAATATCCAATGTTAAACTTCGTGTACAGTTTATTATCAATATTTTTAAGGCATCAGTACCAACTCTAAAGGTCTCAAGCTCATTCGTCTCCCAATGTTATTGGGTGGCAAATGAGTTCGGCCCTTAGAGGATTTTATCATAGACGATTTCAAGACTGGCTAAGAAAGAAGAGTTAATGTTAGACTACATTATTTACCTGTAACGTATGATTTAACAATAGTAACGTTGAGGACTAGCATAGCGAAATTAATAATACCCTTTTTAATTAAGATGAAAGAGTTAAGATATGTAAAATTTATAAATTAATTTCAAATAAAAATCTAACACAATAGAAAAGAAATGTTAATAGTGAAGTTAGATTAAAAAGGAAGCTAAAGGAAAATACGAACATAAAGAACAGAAACACATAGTGAGCATTGAAAGAAAAAAATAAAGTACAAGGTTAGATTTGGGAATAGATTGAAAATATGATGAAAGAGTAAAGAAAATATTAGTTAGTACATCAGATAATGTTTAAAAAGTTGCAAAAAAAACAGCTTTAGAAGCAACGAGATAGGAAAATAAAATCTGAAAGACTGTTAATTTATCATACAGACATAAAACTGATGGGTCGTACTATCAAACTGTGATAAAGCATTCTAGAAGTAGATTGACGAATATAGATGAAAAAATTTTGTACATAAGAATCAATTTTAGTTTTTTGGCAGACGGATCAACAATAGGATCAATATTCATTTTATTATCTAATATTTGCAAGCAAATGAATCAATATTCATTCGCTTGTTAATATGATTTATAATCAAATTTACAGGCAGATGGAGTTAGACTGAAATGTAATAAATAGAATAAATATAGATTGGTAAAAATTGCAAGAAATTAGCAAATTATTTGCAATAGAAAACTTTTGATTAGATCGGGAAAGAAACTTTATATGACAATAGTTAGGACAGCTATGATATGGATCGGAATGTTTGGGAGTAAAGAAAAGACAGAGTAGGAGGATGCGGATAGCTGAGATGAGAACGCTAAGATGGATGAATGGGATTACATTAAAAGATAAAATCGGGAATAGTTCGATTAGAAGTAGTTTACGTATAACAAATGTAGGTGATAAACTGAGAAAAGCAAGCTTAATTGATTAGATCATGTTGTAATGGGGAATGAAATGGAATTATAAAGAAATTCAAGAACTTAGATCTATAGTTTAAGAGGGATAGAATAGGTCAATGAAATCTTGAGAACCAGTTGTTACGAAAGATATGTTAAGGTTAGAGATAGACGAGAGACTATCTATTAGTACGATAGACTGGAAGATTAGTGCAGGAAAGTCCAACTCTAAATGGGAGAAGGAAATGATGTAATTATAAACTTTACCTGTTTCTCTCACTATATATATATGTTACAGTCAAAACCCGTTTTTAGTTANTTTTAATATCATGAAATGAAATTACAAACTATTATAGAATTTAAAAAGATATGAATGGAAGTATGAAAATAATTGTAATTAAATATAAAACTACGAGTGTAATTCAATGAAAATTCAATTAAATGTGTGAACAGTCGCGCAAATTAAGAGTTTAATGCACCAACGAGTAAATTATGTCAGTTTCGAATCTTTAAGGATAAAAATTAAAAACAAAAGATGAATAAAATGCACAGTTATCTCCGTTTATCAGGCCGGATAATTCAGGCGATTAAGCAAATTATGCAAAATATTGGTAAAAGCAATTATTGACTATTTACAATTATCAGAACAACAATAAACTTATTATTTAGTCAAAACAATTAACATCGAATTAAGAGGAGTACACGAAAAATGTCTTTAAAAGTAGGAAAAACTTTTAGCCAGAATTCGTTAAATATCATAAAGAGGATGAAAGATGCAGGCATTTTTTGTGATGCACTCCTTAAGTCGAGAGATGGAGAAGAATTTCCAGTGCATAAATGTATCATGGCTGCTTATTCCTACTATTTTGAAATCTTATTCATCAATACAATGGTTAGAGAAGAAAGACAAGTATTTCAATTAAAAGATATCGACAAAGAAATTCTTCAATGCATCATAGATTATATTTATTGCGGAAAAATCGAACTGAATACAGAAAATGTTCGTAAAATTTTCCATGCCGCTAATGAGTATTTGTTGTCAGAATTAATGAATGAATGTTGTTCCTATATGATAGATCATCTAAACGCAAAAAATTGCATTTCTATTAAAAACACAGGAAAAACTTATGGAAATATCATCTTAGAACAATCTGCTCATCAATATTTAATGAAATATTTTGCAGAAGTCTCGAAACAAAACGAAGAATTGATGCATGTGACAGTGGAAGAACTCGCAAACATCTTGAATTGTGCAGAATTAAATGTTAAAGAAGAAGAATTAGTTTGGGACACGGCATTGCGCTGGATAGACATAAATCCACAAGAAAGAAAAAAACATATGCCTGCCTTATTGAAATGCATTCGTCTAGGCCTTCTCGATTCTGATTTTTTCATGAGAACTGTGAGGAAACATCCATACGTCACAGAAAATGAAGATTGCTATCCTCTGATAATGGAAACATTAGAATTTCTAAACGATTTAGATACCATAAGCCAGAGATCAGAAGAAATTCTAACTCCAGACTTAGTTCGGCCTCGCATCCCTCACGAAATAATTTTTGCTGTAGGGGGATGGAGCTCTGGATCACCAACCGATTACATCGAGACATACGATAGCCGAGCAGACAGATGGGTAAAGATGACTGACGTTGATCCTGCTGGACCAAGAGCTTATCACAGATGTGCAGTAATCGATCATACTATCTATATAATTGGTGGATTTGATGGAATGAATCATTACAGTGGATGCCGCTGTTTAGATACCATCAACAAAAAGTGGAAAGAAATAGCTCCGATGCATTGCAAACGATGTTATGTGAGTGTAGCAGTACTAGATAATTTGATATACGCCATGGGTGGATACAATGGGGCGCAACGACACAATACCGCCGAGAGATATGATTATAGAACAAATCAATGGACGATGATTGCACCAATGCATATGCAACGAAGTGATGCCGATGCCACAACTCTGGACGGTTTCATTTATATCATCGGCGGTTTCACAGGACAACATTGCCTCGAATCGGCCGAACGGTACAACCCGCAGACTAATCAATGGACTCTAATTTCAAATATGAGAAGCCAAAGAAGTGGTTTATGTTGCATCGCTTTCAAAGATTGCGTATATACTCTGGGTGGCTTCAATGGCTTTGAAAGATTGAAAACTGTAGAGAAGTATAATCCTCATTATAATACGTGGTCAGATGTACCTGATATGATAACAACAAGAAGTAATTTTGCTGTAGAAGTTATCGACGATATGATATTTGCCATCGGTGGATATAACGGAGAGAGTATCATATGTCAAGTCGAGTGTTACAGCGAAGCAACTAGTCAGTGGTACGAAGCAACAGACATGAACATTTTTCGTTCTGCATTGGCTGCTTGTATAATAAAGAACATACCTAATACCACTGATTACATCCACAAACACCGAGACAAATTGCTCGAAGAAAAAAGACAAAGACTTCGGGAATTGAGAGAAATGGAAACAGAAATGGATTAACAGACAAATAAAAAAGAAGAGCTGTCAAAAAATTGACAAAATATTTATCCAATATTGTTCTGTTTAGGAAATTAATAAGATTATCTAAATTCTCGCGTAAATAAAGTTTGCCTTTTTGTTTAAGAAGGAAAACATTAAACATTTTTGTTTTTATATACAATCATTATTCTACTTTATAAGATTAAATAAAGTTATATACTGCATATTTGATGACTTTATTTAAATATTAATAGTTTAATACTAATAATTCAAAGAAGAAATTATCTCCCGAATTAAAAATTTGAATATTCAATGATTTTTTGAATTAAAAACGTCCAAATTGTAAGAAAATTTCTAAATTATAAAGACAAGGCTAATTCAAAGAAAGAATTCGCAGTTGTGAGAATATTTTTATTTGCTTTTTGATTGCTATTATTCCTTACACGACTACATAAATGCACAATTCTCACAATTAGTGGACCATCAATAGCTGCATGACTAAAACCACTGAACACTGGTAATTTGTTGCAGTTCGTGCCTGATCAATGAGAGTCACGTAGAGTTTTCCGGGTTTTCTCTCACGTCTCATCTCATAGTACTTGAATAGGGGCCAGTTTCCCGTAGAAAGTTCTTCTGGAAGGCACCCTTCAAATATACTCTTCAGAAGGCACTCCTTGACATATCACCCATATGTTGCGTTGTCTTATAGCTCACTATCAATCCTACCATCCCACAGTATAAATTCCCTTAGAAATGGGATATCTGTATTTAAAAAACGGCTTAATTTTAAAATATTTTTTGTTTTGATTGTTTTAATGAGTAATTTTTATAAATCATGTATAATGAAAATAGTCAGTGAGATGAATTTCAATGCGTTGATCATTAAAAAATGGCTTAATCTGTTGCAAATGTAAATTGGATTGGATCCCTTTAATCTGATGAGATAAGGCTACGCAATATATGGACGATCTGCCAAGGGAAGAAATCGCGAGGGAAGATTTTTTTAGGAAATTGGCCTCTATTTAACTGTTAGACACGTGAATAAAACATAGAAAACTCACTGAGACGAGCTAGTTGATTAGGTGTGAATCAATGACCAACTAAATTAGTAGTATCTTTTCCCTGTACATCATGCTTTCCTGTTAGCAATATAGTCATGCCGGACATCTATCAAACTCCTTTCAGGAAAAAAATTTTTGAATTGAAATAAGGTATATAGATTAACTATATAAGGAAGTTCGTATATAGTTACTCGGGACCTCCTGCCCCTAATGTTTCTTTATCTGGTCTCGACTTTCATCTATCTAACTCCGTTCTCAAGGAAGCACAGGCGGATAGAAGACAGTGAGAATTTATTGTACTACATTTTTTTTTCAAATTGCAGCGCAGTTAGTACAAACAGAATATCGATTCATGGTGATCAAAACCTCATAAGTTTACCATCACATCATATAAGAATTCAAATTCACTCATTTTCATCGTGGTGGCAAACATTTTTGTTTCAGAGAGAAAAGTAACTGAAACGAGTGCTGCAGATTTAACCTCGAATTAGTGAGACCGCTGAAGAGGATTGTTGTGTGCAGTGTTTTAACGAGTTTAGCAACGCAGAAGATTTCAGATTGTGCCGTCCGATTTCCGGATTTGAGATCCGTCAGAAAGAACACTTTACGATTCGTTTATCTCAGATCAAGTCCATTTATTTTACAACTATTTACAGTATATACAGCAATAAGTCTCAATTGCTACCACCGAAAATGTCTTGAGCCTTGCTTTTTCTCTTCCTTTCGATCGGTTAAGTTTGCCTTTTATTCGAGATTCGTTGGCCGTCCAATCCGGAGTCAGTAGCTTTTATTCAAATTCGTCCTCGTTGGCATACCTGTCTCAACTTATTCAGGATGATTCACGCTAAATGACCCCCTCCAGAAAACGTGTTCCGACGAGTGGAAATCTAAATCACTTTGTCTCTACTCGTTAGGCCTCCTTGACAAACGCTCTCAACGACATCGCTTAGCAGCGCTTAGTTTAACAACAATCCCTTTCTTAGCACGATTTCTGCAATACTGATCTGCATTTGAATATTATTCTGATAGACATTAACGTTCTTGTTCGAAAATGTCTTATAAATACTATTTAAACAACGTAGAAGACCAGAATATTACAAGCAAAAAACACTAATCTTCTTAACAAACGAACAACAGGAAAAAGTATATCAACTTAAAAAATTGATAATATAAGGATTAACGACATAATTAACAAGGAGATAGAAAACGTATTTTTAAAAATAAAAAAAGCACAAAAACAAAAAATTTGGATAGGAAAACTATTCGAATTAGAAGTTAGCAGTGGCGTACAGTGACATTTGATGATAGGGAAACTGTAAGACCGGATGGCCGAGCGGTTAATGCTGCAGCCTACCGCTCTGGGGGACTTGGGATCGAATCTGAACGGGTCGAAAAATCCTCAGGAAATTTTCGGGCAGTTGTCCATCTAAATATGTCTTTTCGGGGGTTGTCCATCTGGATATGTCGGGCCCCGTGCCTCACCACCCGGCCGCCCCGTTGTGGGCCTGGCCGAATCCATAATGGATCTGCTGAAAAGAGGTCCTCTTAGTGCCCACAAGGCAGAAAGAGTTAAAAAAATAATAATAAGGAAGCTGTTTCCATAAAAATTTTAAACATATACTACAAATGACAAAAATAAACAGTTTATTTAAATTCTAAATTAGAAAATTAACACAAAACAAAGATATAAAAAATTGTTTTTATTATTGTTTATAAACTAACTCTATTCGGCGATTTTTTCTCCGCAAAGTCGTTAATTACTTTATCATAAAAATCGCTCGTCGTTCATTCCATCAAAGTATTTAAAAGTTCTTTTTCTATTGAAAGCAACGCTAGTTACGACAATCTTTTTTTCTGACTGAGTGTTCCTTGCCAATGTATCAATTCGCTTCGTAGTTGAAAAACTGCGTTCAACAAACGCACTGGTAGATGGTACCGTAAAAATTAATGATATTAAATCATATAATTATTTTAGTACATCTTTGTTCGGATCGTCAGTAATTATTTATATAATATTTTTTTATGTCTAAGAATGACTTGCCAATATAGTCTGGACATGAATATCAATATTACAATTCTCTATGTAATTTAGATAAATCAAAAATTTTCCATAAAATGTACTTAACCCATATTCGACAATACGGCGCTTCCATTGGGGATATGCAGACACGAATTTATATTCGAATATATAATAGCAATCTTAACGTTGTTTTTGACACGCATAGAAATTTGCAATAAAATACATAATGCGATTATAATGAAATATAAATTTTAATTACTTCAAAGTACGTTAAAATATGAAAATAATCGCACAATATGTATTTATATTTTAGAAAATACAAGGGAAGCGGCGCTTCCACAGCTTTTATGGACGGCACGCCACTGGAAGTTAGGAATATCAATTACTTTCGGATACGAATTACGATTACGCCATTCCTAATACTTTACGCTAATGAAATATATTAGCGTATTAGAGTATAAATGAAGCATTTTAGCCTTGCCAACCGCCACAGTTCGAATGCTATCGTCCCACATGATGTTTATGACTACGCTGCTAAACGGCCTTCCTATTGGTCTAATTTTTACCGTTCCGCTTTCCGTGACGTCATTTTGTCGTTCCGTCGACGATTTCCGTCGTCCGTTTCCGCATATGAGTACCAGGCTTAAGGTCGGTGTCAAAATTTTGTGTTCCGGAACATTGAAAGTGAATAAATGACGATTCCTTTTTTTAACAGACTTTATCTTCAATTTTATTTTTAAATTTAATTTCCATCCGACGGAATTCTATTATAGAAAATTTATCTTTTTTATTAAAATAACCGATATGATTGAAACGAGACAAGGTAATAATTGTAACTATTTGTCAGTAAATAGTAGTGAATTAAAATAATATATGTAATTTTTCTAGATATATATTATTTTAATTAACTACTATTTACTGACAAATAGTTACAATTATTACCTTGTCTCGTTTCAATCATATCGGTTATTTTAATAAAAAAGATAAATTTTCTATAATAGAATTCCGTCGGATGGAAATTAAATTTAAAAATAAAATTGAAGATAAAGTCTGTTAAAAAAAGGAATCGTCATTTATTCACTTTCAATGTTCCGGAACACAAAATTTTGACACCGACCTTAAGCCTGGTACTCATATGCGGAAACGGACGACGGAAATCGTCGACGGAACGACAAAATGACGTCACGGAAAGCGGAACGGTAAAAATTAGACCAATAGGAAGGCCGTTTAGCAGCGTAGTCATAAACATCATGTGGGACGATAGCATTCGAACTGTGGCGGTTGGCAAGGCTAAAATGCTTCATTTATACTCTAATACGCTAATATATTTCATTAGCGTAAAGTATTAGGAATGGCGTAATCGTAATTCGTATCCGAAAGTAATTGATATTCCTAACTTCCAGTGGCGTGCCGTCCATAAAAGCTGTGGAAGCGCCGCTTCCCTTGTATTTTCTAAAATATAAATACATATTGTGCGATTATTTTCATATTTTAACGTACTTTGAAGTAATTAAAATTTATATTTCATTATAATCGCATTATGTATTTTATTGCAAATTTCTATGCGTGTCAAAAACAACGTTAAGATTGCTATTATATATTCGAATATAAATTCGTGTCTGCATATCCCCAATGGAAGCGCCGTATTGTCGAATATGGGTTAAGTACATTTTATGGAAAATTTTTGATTTATCTAAATTACATAGAGAATTGTAATATTGATATTCATGTCCAGACTATATTGGCAAGTCATTCTTAGACATAAAAAAATATTATATAAATAATTACTGACGATCCGAACAAAGATGTACTAAAATAATTATATGATTTAATATCATTAATTTTTACGGTACCATCTACCAGTGCGTTTGTTGAACGCAGTTTTTCAACTACGAAGCGAATTGATACATTGGCAAGGAACACTCAGTCAGAAAAAAAGATTGTCGTAACTAGCGTTGCTTTCAATAGAAAAAGAACTTTTAAATACTTTGATGGAATGAACGACGAGCGATTTTTATGATAAAGTAATTAACGACTTTGCGGAGAAAAAATCGCCGAATAGAGTTAGTTTATAAGCAATAATAAAAACAATTTTTTAAATCTTTGTTTTGTGTTAATTATCTAATTTAGAATTAA